CGCCTGGCTCTGCCTCCCGAGTGCTGGGATTAAAGGCGTGCGCCACCACCGCCCGGCATGTTGTTGTTGTTTTTCAAGACAGAGTTTCTCTGTGTAGCCCTGCATGTCCTGGAACTCACTCTGTAGAATACTGGCCTCGAACTCAAGAGATTCACCTGTCTTTGCCTCCCAGGTGCTGGGATTAAAGGCATGGGCCACCACCGTGGTTGCAAACTATTTTAAAACCAATCTTCCAGCTAGGCAGTAGTGGTGCACGCCTTCAATCCCAGCATTTGGGAGGCAGAGGCAGGCAGATCTCTGAGTTCAAGGCCAGCCTGGTCTACAGAGAGAGTGCCAGGACAGCCAGGGCTACACAAAGAAACCCTGTCTCAAAAAACAAACAAAAACCCGGAAAAAAAATCTTCCTCTTTTTCTTTCTTTCACCTCTTTCTCTGTCTGTCTGTCTGTCTCTCTCTGTCTCTCTGTCTCTGTCTGTCTCTGTCTCTCTGTCTCTCTGTCTCTGTCTCTCTCTCTCTCTCTCTCTCTCTCTCTCTCTCTCTCTCTCTCTCTCGTGTGTATGTGTGTGTGTGTGTGTGTGTGTCTGTGTGTGTGTGTCTGTGTATTAGTATTGGGGGTTGAAAATATATATATGGGGAGAGAATACAATATATATATAAAATCTGCTCCACCTCCAAGACCTCATATATGCCAGACAGACCTCAGACTTCCTGGGAAGGTAAAGATGACCTGGACTTCTGATCTTCCCATGGAAAGTGGAGACTTTCAAGTGTTAGGATTACAGGTGTGCTCCACCACTCAGTTTATGTGGTGCTGGAGATCAAACCCAGGGCTTCACACATTCTAGGCAAGAATTCTACTAACTGAGCCACACCCCTAGTCCCTTAAAGCCAGTCTTGAATGTCAGCAACCCTCCCTTTTCCCATTGGAATTGTGCATGGGAAGAGTAGGGCCACTGGGAGTTGATGTGGCGTTATTTATATGAGGCTATCAGGTCACAGTCATGTCGTTTTATCAGTGTCAGTTGCTTCAGGCTGTCACAGCGACACCTTCTTTCTATCTCTTAAGTACCTTTTGAGAGATCGGGCTGACTGTTCATCTCTCCATAGCTCGCCTGTCTGTCCAGCTGGCCAGTCAAACCTCCTGGATGATTGCATTTTCTGATGCAAAAACCCAGATGCAGCCTCCAGTATCGCTGTCAGTTTATAGAACGCCCAGCTTCAATTTTGAATTGTAGATTCCATAAGGGTTCCCATGTGCATGTATTGCTAAAGATTTGCCAATAGAATTTTCTTGACTGTGCTATAAAAATGTGTTCAGGAGTGCCGGAGAATTCCAGGGGCGCCAGATATTAATGGCAGTGTCACTTGCCTTTTCTGTTGCAATACATCATGTCTTGTTCCTGCAGAGGACAGTTGACTAAAATTACATTTTTCTCCTTTTTTGAGGATTACTTTTCTTTGTAGTCCAGTAGTATAGGACAGTTTTATTCTGTAGAGCAGCTCTTGAGCAAACTGTGTGGCCAAGGCCCATAGAGGTGAACGATGGCAGGAAGAGAGAGAGACTGTCAGGTTCAAGTGAGAGGCAACCACAGAATCTTCTCCGGGGACTTGACATTAGATGCAAAGAACCAAGATGATAAATTCTTCATGAAGAGGTTGTTTCCTGACAAAATGTGGTGTTGACTAACACACAAGCAGAGTCGCCGTGCTGACGCTGGCGTGTTGACACACACATGAACAGAGTCGCCGTGCTGACGTCGGTGTGTTGACACACACATGAACAGAGTCGCCGTGCTGACACTGGTGTGTTGACACACACACATGAACAGAGTCGCCGTGCTGACACTGGTGTGTTGACACACACATGAACAGAGTCGCCGTGCTGACGTCGGTGTGGACAGAACTCTTGAGAGGAAGAAGGAAGTTGTCCAAACAGGATTGAAATTAACAGGAGAGATGCTGGCTTCCACACAAAGATGTTCTCTTTCCTTTGTAATTTGAGGAAAGGGAATGTATCTTAGCTTTAAATTGAGTTGAAATCACATGTAAGAAGGTAAAAATACATAATAGAAGATTTTCCTCTCTGTCCTTTGTAGACCATCATGTTCAGAAGTAAGATACATAGAAAACCAAATTGGGATGTGTGTGTTTGTGTGTGTGTGTGTGTGTGTATGGGTGTGGGTGTGTGTGTGTATGGGTGTGTGTGTGTGTGTGTATGGGTGTGTATGGGTGTGTGTGGGTGTGGGTGTTCACTGTATGTGCAGGTGCACACATGGAAACCAGAGGAGGATACTGGATGTCTTACCTTATTATTCTCTCTCTACCTTATTCCCTTGAGAATTTCTTTCTGACCCTGAAAGTAGAGCAAGCCCCGGCCATCCTCCTGTCTGAGTCCTCGCCCCCTCAGCACAGGGTTACAGGCACATCTGAAGACAAGCCACACTTTTTATGTGGGTGCTGGGGCTTCACGCAAATGTTCTTACCCACGTGGCCGTCTGGCTTTGTAGTAGTGCTGGAGTGAAGAATCGGTATCCAGACATGTTTCTCTGTGCCTTCACCAAATGCAGAATTACTTGGACAACTTCTGGCCGGATTTAAAGGCTGCCCACGAGCTCTGTGACTCCATCCTGCAGTCTCGCCGGGAAAGGGAGAGTGAAAGTCAGGAAACCCACGGGAAGGAATACCCAGAACACCTTCCCCTGGAAGTGCTCGAGGCAGGCATCAAATCTGGACGCTACATCCAGGTGAGGTTGGCAATGAAGGGTAGGTGTCAGTAACAACCAGCGTGGTTTTGTTTCTCTTCTCAGCTTGCCTTCCACTCCAGGGCTCTGAGTTCAAAGCCTGTCCACAAGATGGCCTTGAGTAAGCAGAGCTGCCCAGTTCAAGGCCATCTGGGAGCCATTTTTCCATAGTCCTTAACTGTCTAGTTCCAGGCTGCCCAAGTGTCACACAAGTATAGGGTAGGCCTCTGCACTGGGAAAGAAATACATTTTTACATGAGGGTGTAGAGGTGGCTGGACCATCATCACATCTGTGATTCCCCAGAACCCAGAACCCAGAACCCAGGGGCTGTCGGTTTGGAGAAGGACTTGGGTACAGTAAGTAACTCCTCAGCCTTAATCATTTTACCACATTTATTTCCTGTTTTCCCATCAGCTGTGTGCAGTCTTGTGTGTCCACCACAGTCAAAATTCAAAACTACTCTGCTAAGGATTTTGTATTTCTTTTTCCCCCCCCATGCCAGGGTTTCTCTGTATAACAGTCCTGGCTGTTCTAGAACTCTCTTTGTAGACCAGGCTAGCCTTGAACTCACAGAGATCCACCTACCTCTGAAATTAAAGGTTTGTGCCACCACGCCGAGCATGGATTTTGCATTTGTAACAAACAACTCAGAATCTCTCGTGGTGGCCAAAGCTTGAGTGTGCGTGCTGAAGTCCCTGCCGTAGTCTATGTAACCAGTGTGCCCTGCCCTTGTTCAAGCTAGCAGCATGTTCTCTCTAGAAAGGAAACTGTTGTGGTGAAGACAGGGATCACAGTCTGCTAAGAATGTGGAGATATTTTCATAAGTTTTAAAAAACTGAGTCGAGCCGGGCGGTGGTGGCACACGCCTTTAATCCCAGCACTCGGGAGGCAGAG